GATTCTCGTAATTTTTTAGTTGTTCCTTGTAATATTTTTGGTTTTCAGTGAAAACCTCTTCAACAATATCTCTGAGTATATCTTTGAATGTGACTATGCTGTCAAATTGGATGTGTGCATACTCGAGAGTAGAATAAATCTGGTTCTTTTGTTTATGAGAAAGTTTACGAATAAGTTTACGAATAACGGGATTTTCTTCAAATTTGCCCATTTTCGTTTTCGTTGGTTTTGAATAGATTTTGTCAAGAGATTAAAGATAATTATTATTCTTCGTCTTTTGAAAAATTCTTCGCAAGAGATGTGTTCTCAAGCAGAAATTATAATCATTTATATATTTTTTTCGGAAAATGTTTTTAAATGTAATTTAAAAATTCTCTTGGCACATCTCATAGAACATGCATTTTGGAAACATCTTTGGTGATACTGAAATCATGTGAAACTTTCTCCATTGAGCCATAATTAGTTTTAAAACGACAACGGAGTTTATAAACCGTATATGTACATGTACAATTCACATCTTTTTCGTTAATTGTTTCTGTGAAGAAATGACACTAAAAATAGTACCGGTACGTATATGGCATGGTATGTAAGAGACGAGTCAAAAATCTATGTTATTATTGAAATACATGTAGATGCAACGCCTTTAGAATTCGATTGGAAATTTTTTGACAACAATAGCGTGATTTTCGTTCAATTAGAATGAATTCTTTTCGTTTTTATTGATAACGTCAATATTTTCTTATATTTATTATAGTTTTTCTAAAAGAATAATCTTTGACACATGATGGTAACGGTAAGACAGATACATACATTCATAAGAATAAATTATACGCGAGTTTAGATCATTTGAATATTAAGCTTTTAAAAATTTCATCTTTTTTTATTAAGCGTATTGCTTTCAATGAAGCGAAATTTGGTTTTTTGTGATGACTTGAATACATAGTATCATCACTTTTTTTTTAATCCATGTTATTTTTTGTTATTTGTTAAAAATCTAATGTCAATTTTTCGAAATCTTACATTGAATGAACATTATTTACATTGTTTTATATTGATAGGAAATTTTTGTTTCAAGAGACAACTACTTGTGAATTATAATTGCTTAATAATATAGTTTCATTGTATGATGAAGGTTTATTAATAACTACATATCTGCTCCCAAGCATCCCTTCATCCCCTACGAAGACTACTTTTCCTACAATTCGCGTGTCGGTACTACTTGCGTCACTGTCACTGTCGTCATCATCGTCACACGTGACAATAATCGTGGGTATGATAAATTTTTGCGGTCCAACACCTCTCGCACGTAATTTATTTTTTCGATTTGGTGAAATTGACGCGAGGAATTTCGCGATTTTTCGTATTGGTGTGATTGATTTTTGTGGTTTTGTGTGAAAAGAACAGTAATGTGGTTCCATTTTGACAGATTTTGATAGTTTCCTCATTTTTGATTTAATTTGGGAGGATCAAAACCTTAAACGAAATAAAAAAAATGACTTTTTCACTTTGTTTCTCTAAAATTCAAGACGACCTTATATATAGAAATCAAGTTAATAATATCACATATTATGAACATCAAATCCCGTTTTTGCTTGGTACGATACAATGACGAATACACAACAAAATGTGTGTGCATCCCATATTGATAACGATAATGGGAACATCGAACTGTTTTTCTTGGTACGATACAATGACGAATAGATAACAAAATGTGTGTATACCAAGAAACCAAGCTAAACGTTTTATGCACAGTATGCAGTGTAACAAGGAACAGTGTCAATGTCGGTATCACATCACTATGAAAGAATGAGAACAGGAAAAATTCCCCGCCCCCGCATGAATGATTATTCTACGGAAAGAAAATTAAGCAATTTCTATGAAGGCGTAATCAGCGTTACGTCATTGGCAGTTTCAGCGGGAGCAAATATTTGTGTAATCCCATTAGGTTAAAAAATCTCAAAACTCGCCATGTTAACCATCTTTGTTGTACCGGGATTGGATAATGCCAAATTTCATGTGGCAGTGATAATTATAATTGATATGCAAGCAATGAGATGAATTTTGGAGACCAAACAATGAGAGGAGTTAGAGATACGGAAATAATGTGTAGAATTTCTATCGTTATATTCAGAAATGCATGAGCTCTTTTTTGGTGACTTTATGATTTTGAAAAAGCGATATTAAAACAAATAAACATGGCCGGTATACAATGATTTACCAATAAAATAATGGTTTAACGTTAAATGTTAAATACATGTATACTGTTGCCCCCCCCCCAAGTTGCCGTGTAACATTGTTTTTTATTATCGCTATCATTGTAATCTATTAACGGGGACGCGGGAAAATATTGAAATTTAACAGGATTTGAATGGGGGTTAACGTAAGGATTTTTGTTATTGGTTCCCAATCTTTAATTAATTTAGATATTATCCGCGGCTAAACTTTCGGATTTAACTGAAGTTAACGGATCAAAGATGGCTAATGTTAATCAGATTAAATTAGTTAGATATTGCACCACTTGATTGATTCGACATTTATTTTATCATTATCTTTTCGTAGATATTTACGCAATCATGACTCAACGTGAGACTTCAACTTAAAAATTCTGTTATTTTCAAAAATCTCAGGTAAGGATACGATACTACTATAATCAAATTTGACACTGTCAATTCATAAGCCTCAACCAATGAAATTACGAAATCCTGAGCAAACAACATTCTTAATGCACAGAATTCAAAAAGAATAATATCTTAAATGAATTAAATCCAAAATCTATAGTATTTCAAATGAGAGACTTATGAATTATGAGGTTTAATCATGCGAATATATAATGATTTTTTATTAATGTTTAATAAAAAATTGTGATGGTAACTAAATGTATAATACTATTGTAATTATAGAAAAAATAATATAGAAAAGTCAGACTGTATATATTATCTTATTAAAGTTATTTTTAAATGTAAGGTCATACAAAATTAATTGTTTCTCATAACATAAAATTTTAAGTGACCCGCCCGTCCCGTTTTTAATTTTCTTTTCTAAAATTTTATCTCAAAAAAGAACATAAATTTTTTTCAATATTTTAAAAAATCCCACCCGGGAGTTTTTATAATAAATAACATATAAAATTTCACTTTAAAAATTGACCGGCCGGGTTATGGAAACAATAAATTTTGCTTTGCTTGGCCTAATATAATTTTATATTAGCAGAAATTTATGTAATACGTAAAAAATTATAAAAATACTATTACTTTACATTATAATTTCAATTTAAAAATTTAACATATTATTAGTAATAATAATACATGTAATAATAGTATCTTCATCACATCTCTGTCCATTACATCTCATGGGAATTAGAAAAAGCTATCGCATCCTTTATTATGAAGCTTTTTTCACAAAATTAAACCTATGTTTATAATATAGCAGGTAATATGTCAGGTCTTGGTAGCTTGGAAAACTACCTTTCCCTTATCTGATATCTACTTGCTATCATCACACACATAATTTTCACATATTTCTTTCTCTTTTTTTTTCTATCTTACAATACTCATTACTTTGCAAGTTTCATACCAATAATCTTTTCATAACACTAACTTATTAAAGTCACTATATTAATAGTCAGACTGTTACTCTTGCCTGGTTAAACATGGAATACTTTCACATAAACATATTTTTCTATTTCTCTATTATTTATCTTTTCATATTATAAATAACTTATATAGTAATATACTTAGCATCTAAAAGTTAATAGTTAGACTGCTATTTTTATCTAGTTAAGTCTGAAACTCTTAATTTTAAGTCTTTATTACTTCTTATACTGTCAAAAAAAATTCTTTATATCTTATACTCTTTAACTACTTGCTATAATTTGTTATTATATATTTCAATCTTTTTTTTTATAATCTAGATTTATATTATATATCATCTCTTGCATTTTCATATATATTATTTTCTTTTTTATATCTACTTATATCAATTAAATTTTTATAAATTCACATCATATTTTCACACTTTTATATATAATATATATTATTATCAAGCAGTTAACTCTCATTCTTTTCTTATTTTAACTAGCTTCATATATATATATAATAATGTCTCATTTCATTTTATTTTTCTCATGTATATTAATTATAATTATTATTTTTAAATTAAGATTTCAGATATAAAATATCTAATATTATATTTATACTAATAAATAATTTTATTAATATATTTATTTCTTATATATCTGACTTATTAATACTCTTTTTTATTTCATATATTTTTATCTGAATTATTTTTATATATATTATACTTTTTTCTTTTTATATTTTTTCTTATATTTCTTTGTTTTTTAATTTTTTCTCTTTTTTCTTTTATATATAAAATATTATTATTATAATTTTAATTAATTATAATTCTTTAAAGTTTTATATATTAATAATTTTTATTTTGTATAAATATATTTATTAATTATATTATAATATAATTATAAAAATAAATATTATTAATAATTGATTATTTGAATTTATATTTATTATTATATATAATAATAATCAAAAATAATAACTCAGAAACTAAATTTATTAATAAAATAAAGTAAAAATTGTAATTTTCTCTTTATATTAAAATTTATAATTTTATTAAAAATAATTTTTATTTTTATATTAAAATAAAGTTTATTAGTTATAATTTAATATATATTTTTTTAGATTTTTTAGATTTTTTCTAAAAGAATTGCTCTAATTATAAAATTAATACAAAAATTTTTACTAATTAAAAATAAAATTTAATTAATAAAAATTTTTGCACTAAATTTATAATTAAAGCAACTTTTTTAGAAAAAATTTAAAAAAACTAAAGAAAATATATGTTAAACTATAACTGATAAACTTTATATTAATATAAAAATAAAAATTATTTTTAATAAAATTATAAATTTTAATATAAAGAGAAAATTTTAATTTTTACTATATTTTATTAATAAATTTAGTCTCTAA